GGGAACAGGCACCCGAGATGTGCCTAACATTAAGATGCAGCACCAGTATAGTAATGAAGTTGTTAGGGGGAGGAGACCTATCTCTACTGCTGCCTGACTGCATACGTCTGGTTCCATGTGGTGTCCAGTTCAGTCCATAACTATGGAATTTGTATTTTTGAGGTTCCTCTGTACTTAGTCCTACCATGAGTGTGGGAGGCTGGACTAGATCACTTTTTGATGGCCCTTGCATTCAGTGATTCCATAGCAAGGACTATGATTTTTATCTGATGTCCTGCATTACACCCAACAATATTATTTTATCCAGAAATTCCCATAGTGGAGGGAATATTCATCCTTACTAGTTCAGTGAACATTAAGGTCCACTTATCAAATTCCAAATCTCAGTTATATAGTGGTGTGCAAATGAGCCCCTGTACAACTGAGCTCCTTGGCAATAGGAGGTATGCATCTCCTGTCAGTGCTCCTTAAATGCTACCCCGCACCTTTGTAGGCCAAGAAGACTAGTTCATTTAAAATGCTCCACAGCTACAAAGGAGCCAGGCTTTACCTGAGAAATGGGGGTCATTCTGAAATCTGCCTCTGTCAGTCTTCTTTTACTTCCAGAAGCTTCTACAGGTCAGACCTCCCTGGTCTGAAACCCCTCGGGACCTGGCCCTGGATGAGGGATTTTGCCAGACCAAGGGAAGTCATTTCTGCCTCCTCGGCTGACGCTCCCCTCTCCCCCTTGCCCCCAATGACCCACTGGGTTTCCTGGTTCCCCAAGGCAGCCCAGCTGAGCCATGAGCTGGCTTGTGCTTCTCCATCCTCCCCTGCAGCCCCACCCCTTTCATTACACTGGGCTCCTGGTCCCCTCCACCACCTGTAGTGTGTCAGGAACATTGGACCAGAGAGTCCACATTTATAGAAGTAAAACCTGTACTGGGTGGTGATTTAGGCATATAAGTATTACTCCTGATCCTTCCCCAGAACCCCACCTATGAATACTACATACCACTTAAAGCAACCTTTGACAAATAATGTTTTGATCATGAGCCAGAAATGTAGCCAATTCCCTTACTCTGTGCAGGTCTCTTAAGAAAATCATGGCAGGGAGTTTATTTGTAAATGGAAGAAATAATGCACATTTTTTAAGTTCTTTGAGACATTCATAGAATCTTAGGACTGGAAGGGACCTCGAGAGGTCATCGAGTCCAGCCCCCCGCCCTCAAGGCAGGACCAAGCTCCGTCTACACCATCCCTGACAGATGTCTATCTAACCTGTTCTTAAATATCTCCAGAGAGGGAGATTCCACCACCTCCCTTGGCAATTTATTCCAATATTTGACCACCCTGACAGTTAGGAATTTTTTCCTAATGTCCAATCTAAACCTCCTTTGCTGCACTTTAAGCCCATTACTCCTTGTCCTGTCCTCAGAAACCAAGAGGAACAAATTTTCTCCTTCCTCCTTGACACCCTTTTACATATTTGAAAACCGCTATCATGTCCCCCCTGAATCTTCTTTTTTCCAAACTAAACAAGCCCAGTTCATGAAGCCTGGCTTCATAGGTCATGTTCTCTAGACCTTTAATCATTCTTGTCGCTCTTCTCTGTACCCTTTCCAATTTCTCCACATCTTTCTTGAAATGTGGCGCCCAGAACTGGACACAGTACTCCAGCTGAGGCCTAACTAGTGCAGAGTAGAGCGGCAGAATGACTTCACGAGTTTTGCTTACAACACACCTGTTGATACAACCTAGAATCATATTTGCTTTTTTTGCAGCAGCATCACACTGTTGACTCATATTCAACTTGTGGTCCACTATGACCCCTAGATCCCTTTCCGCCATGCTCCTTCCTAGACAGTCGCTTCCCATCTTGTATGTATGGAACTGACTGTTCCTTCCTAAGTGGAGCACGAGGGGGGTAGTTCGAACGAGGGGGGTAGTGTAGACATACCCTCAGTCTCTCAAGTGTATGCTCTTTATATTTAAAGTACAGGAGAGCACAGATCATACCAAACAAATAAATCCTAGAGGCAATGCCCATCAAGAACTCACTCATTCCTTGGCCGACCTTGAAGGACCATGTGATCAAAAGAAGTAGCTAACCCAGCAGGAAACTATAAAGGAACTTGCAAGGGAAAGCCGGGGGGAAGCACCCATCTTGCATCAGATTAAGATGAGGGAGGTGCTGTGAAGGCAGACTAGACAATGGAAGAAGACAGGGGTGTGAATAACTCGAAGCGATATAAATGACACCAACCTGAGCATTGGAGTGGACAGCACTCTGCAGACAGGAGACATTCTCCCACCAACATAGCTACCGCCTCTTGCAAAGGTGGTTTTATCATATCTATGTGAGAGCTTTCCCGTGAGCATCCTGTAAACAGGATGAGGTTTAATAAAGAGAAATGCAAAGTGCTCCACTTAGGAAGGAACAATCAGTTCCATACATACAAGATGGGAAGCGACTGTCTAGGAAGGAGCATGGCGGAAAGGGATCTAGGGGTCATAGTGGACCACAAGTTGAATATGAGTCAACAGTGTGATGCTGTTGCAAAAAAAGCAAATATGATTCTAGGTTGTATCAACAGGTCCAAGTGTTTGCATATGATTTCCTTAATTACCTGCTCCATTATCTTCCCTGGGACAGACGTAGTTTCGTAGGTTGTTCTTATTTCCCTTTTTATAAATGGGCACAATATTTGCCATTTTCCAGTCTTCTGGAATCTCCCCTGTCTGCCATGATTTTTCAAAGATCATAGCTAAAGGCTCAGATACCTCCTCTATCAGCTCCTTGAGTATCCTGGGATGCATTTCATCAGGACCTGGTGACTTGCTGACATCTAACTTTCCTAAGTGACTTTTAACTTGTTCTTTGTGAATCCTATCTTCTAAACCTACCCTCTCTCTGCTTGTATTCACTACGTTAGGCACATCTCCAGACTTCTCGGTGAAGACCGAAACAAAGAAGTCATTGAGCATCTCCGCCATTTCCAAGTTCCCTGTTACTGCTTCTCCCTCCTCACTAAGCAGTGGGCCTACCCTGTCCTTGGTCTTCCTCTTGCTTCGAATACGATGGACGAACAACAACAATATAATACGCACTAAAAAAAATCTTTCTAAATCAAAGGGCTGCTAATGAACATTTTACCGGTAATCTAGTGCTATAGTGATTTTGACTTAAAGAAAATATATCTTTTAAGTCCTGATACTATTATGACTATTATTTTATTCATTTTTAGTCTACATTTTTACTGTCATGATATGTAATATATATGTGTGTACTTACAGTATGCTTTGTAACACTATATGTGGTGCTATAATGAAAAGTAGCATCTACATGATCACCTTGGAAGGAGGAGCAGGTGAATACACAATACTATGTCAAGAAGAAGAGAGTTTAATAAGCATGCATTATGTATAAACACTTACAAGAACTGAGCCAAAAGGTCACCTTTACAATGAAGCAGATGTATATAGTTCTCTTATAACCCTCAATTCGGGTTTTATCTTAATCACTGTACTGCTTATGCCTTACACAAAGGACCCTGCCACTCTATCTACCTCTTCTTTTATGGATTCAAAACCTACTCCTGGGGGAATTCTGTGTCATGCACATGCACAGAATTCATGACCCTGCAGATTTCTTTGCTTCTCCACAGAAGAATAACTTGTGATGGGGAAGCAAAGTGAAGCCAAAGGCAGCTGTGTGGCCCTCCCTGGCAACACAGGCAGGTCAGTTTGAGTGCCTGGAATGACCAATACAGATACAGATCACCACCATGGGTATGGGAAGAGGTCAGCAGTCATGTATGAAAGAGAGACACAGTCTGTCCCCCTCTCTCACCATGAAGGCATGCTCAGCATGGAGGGGTGTGTCTAGGGAGGTAGGCATGGCACAGGCGATCCCCTCAAGCAGAGTCAAATGTAGCAACTTGAGGCAGGGTATGGTTCCCATTGCCTTTGTGAATTCCCCCAAGAGCATAACACAGATGGGAAATTTTAAAGCACCTTTACATGGCTAAAGTATATAAAGACCAGTGTATTCTTATAAATGCTTATGGTGCTTTAAAGATTGGAACTGGTCTAAATTTGTTGACTGAAGAAAATTCTTAACATGTAGTCCATGAAGTGTATGCTACTGACCTTTCTGGAATTAATTGTGAGTTTGCTTCCCCAGCTCTCATTTGCACTTCAGTGGCCTATGACGGAACACTGAGAATATAGCTGCATGTATTTGTTGACTAAACATCCCTTATTGATAAAAGGCATTTTAGAAATGCAAATGATCATTGACTTGGAGCTCTCACACTTTGTTGCTTCTTAACCTGTACTGATTGCACACACTGAGGACTCCTGGCTTCCCTCCATTCACCGACCCTCTCTCTCTATGCGCCACCCTTCCATCCCCCTCTATTTCATTGAGTCCCTCAATCTGCCAACCCTGCCTTTGTGTGTCAGGCTCCATCCCATGTTTCTTCATCTCCTCCAAACCAGGGTCTTCGTGTGCCATCCATCCTTCCCATACCAGAAGTTCTGCATACCTCCTCTTCCCAATATCAAGGTCTACCTTTCTTTGCACCATTATTTATTTTCCCACTCTCAGAAATAAGTCATTTGGGGTATCACCATTTTAAAATTATTTTGGGAAGATGAACAAAGCTGATAGTACATTAACATGTAAGTTACAACTGAATTTAGGAACTCTTTTTTTTCATCTAGTTATTCCTATAAAATGTTGCTTCCCATAATTATCAAAAGCTTTACTGAGTAGATTGCCTGTACTGGCAATATCATCATAATTAGTATCTACTCCATTTAACTGTATGCTGATTGTCTAACCATTGTCTAACTCTTGCTTTGGTATAACTCTTATATTAATAAGATGATAAACAATTTGATACTTGAGTCTGATCATGCTGTCTTTGAGAGAGATGCAATGATCCAACTTTATAAACCAGACTTCTTTATCTATTATTCCTGTAACACCAGAAATAATTTTGTTTTTTAAACAGGAGAATAAACCATCCCTCATTCAGACTGGCCCAGAAGCAACCCTGCAGACCCACCTCCTTGTATTTGAAGCTGAGAAATCCAGGAAAGAAAATCGTGTTGTGTTTTTAGAACCTAGAAAGGAACACTTCCCAAAGGCTACATATAAATGAACTTTTAACTTGGCTCTTCTTATATTTGCAGAGACAAATTAAAAAATGGTCCCAGTTACCTGGGAAATAATTTGTCTTGTTTATGCTAATCTGAAATATATCTGGGGATAGGCACTATAGAAAATCAGATTTTGCATACTACAAATCTATAAAATGCGAAGCATTTGTTTATAGGATTTTCTACATCTTTTCATTAATTTTTTGGATATAGAAAAATATTGAAAATCATCTTCAGTATTGTGGCTATCCTGGCTTCCTTTAAAAGACACACAACTTATTTTTCCAGTAGCGCTTCAGACTAACTTGGCTACCTCCTGAAGCTTCTTAACCGTTAAGAAAAAAACAACAAAATGATCTGGTAGCACTTTATAAACTAAGGAAACCTGTAGATGGTATCATGAGCTTTCATGGGCACAGCCCACTTCTACAGAAGCCTGGAGTTATGAGTTGGGGATATGAAAACTCGAAATAAATAGGGAATGGGAGGGGGGGGAGAGAGAGAAAATGGGAGGGGGTGGGAAACAGAGCATCATTAAGTATCTGGAGAATGGGTTCTTGAACCTAAGCAGATAGGAATCTATCTATTGACTTTGATTTTTAAGATAGGAAGGATACCACTCAGAGTTGTTAGCACCTTCAGTGGTTATTAAGTAGGTAGAGTCCCCACCAGCCCATATCACAATTGAGTCCATTAGCATGTGAATTGAATTTGTGGATGAACTGGGATTCCAGGGCTTCTCTGTGTATTTCGCTTGTAGACCTGGTTTGTGACAGGACAGCTACTTGCAGGTCTGTCAGACTGTGGTTAGGCAAGCTGAAATGCTCACCAACAGGCTTCTGTATGTTCCCGTTACGTATATCCGATTTGTGTCCATTGATTCTTTCCCACAGAGACTGTCCAGTTTGTCCAATATAGATAGCAGTGGGGCACTGTTGGCATTTGATGGCATAGATGAAATTACTGGATGTTCAGTCAAATGACCCTTTGATTTTTGTGGCTTATGTTGTTTGCTCCAGTGATGAATTCACCAGTGTAGATATGTGGGCAGAGTTGGCATCTTTTTTGGTGCAGGGCTGGGTTCCTGGAGGTTTATGATGTGGTTATGTGGCATGGTTATCAGAAAGAATGTTTCCTTAAGGACACTCTTAACCGAGCAACCAGCAGTTAGGATGTGTTAATGACAAAGGTTTTGACAGCACGGAAGTGAGTTAAATTAGTGTTTCTCCCGTGTAGCCACCAGGGGGGGGCCTTACTTGCAAACAGCCTCCTGCATGATGGACAGAGTCAAAGCATCAGTTTTTCCCTCTCCCTCCCTTCTTGTTGCTTCTGGATGTGCTGTCATGCACCCCCTCTGGAGATAGTAGGACACAGTTCTTAGCCCCCTTTGGATTGGGCAGGGCATGCTGGGGCTCAGGCTTCAGCCCTGCAGCAGCTGGGCAGCAAGCTCCTATGGCAGGACTTTAACAACCAGGCCACAGGTTCCGTGCATGTCCCATGCCCCTGGCTCTGACTGTGCAGCAGCAGAGGCCGACCCCTGGCCATTGAGCAACTAATGCCAATTCTGGTCACATGATGATGATTGCTGGCTTAGCTGAGACATTTAAGTAAGTTAGAATATAGATGAAGACAACAAAATGAGTGATATGTGAGTTCTTCTAAGTCACAGTAATGGCTGTCTGTCCCTGAACACAACTCAATTCTTAATGTGCTTTTCACACTGGAATAGGAATGACTGCTAGTGATGGCTGATAGTCTATGAACATTCCTGGATTTTTACATTGTTGTTTTAGCTGGAAGCATGCATAATGTTTGATCAAATAGCGTTCAGGGAGAACGGTTGAGCAACTATCAAAGTACTGTGCTTAGAGTGGCCATATTCTGTGGGATACCTTCTGAAACAACAGTAGTGTGGTTAAATAATTCTGGTCACATTCTGGGCTGCATGACTGCATCCAAATTGTCTGCTGTATATGCTATTTACAGTTTAACTGGGTGAAAATAAAATAGCAACAGAGCCCATGTCTGAGTGCCTGTCTACTGTTAAACAATTTAACAGCTGTAAAAATAAATGACAATGCTGTTTACTTTTAGAAGGAAGACTCTAGTGGAAACCTCACCTGTTCATTGATCCATCAGAAATTCCTATAAATTAGACTTATGACAATCAGCAATGCTCTCTCAGCCTCCACAACAGACCTCTTTAGCAAACTGGAGTTTGTATTCCATCTGTAAATGCTGTAATCTGGAAGGCCCAGATCCAAACATATTTTAGTTCTTGACCTACTGAAATCAAGAGCTTCAATTTTACCTTTGTGGATCCTGAGGCTAAGTAATCTGACATAAACATGAAAGATTAATAGTGTGTGTCAAATAAGAATTAACAAATGAGGGAAATCAGAATCCTTGTCTGAGGTCTCCTTAAAGCCTCAAATATTTTAATATTCTTATATAATTCACATCCACTACCTTTTCTTTTCCTGTAGCAGATACATTGTCCTTTTTAGTTGGCACACTGTTCTAATTGAGGTCTGTACAGTAATCTTTTGAGTAATTCAGTTCAGACAGATGTTATCAGTCACTTGGTGTTTCTTCCTGAGAAGTTGCAGGGGCCTCCAAGGCTCTTCTCTTCCTTAGTCTTTCAGCATTTGTGATTGTCATAGGATGTAATGGGAAAAGTCCAGAAAAACCTGAAAAAGATTGTGCATAAGTAAAGTTTCAATATTACGCTTCTAGACTCAGATTCAACGGCTAGAAGGGAGCACTGTGATGATCTCCTATCATCTTACATTACATGTGCTGTAGAACTTCTCTCAAATAATTCTTTGAGTTACTTTTAGAAAAGCACCCAATCTTGTCACTGATTGAGAATCTACTACAACCCTTTGTAAACAGTTCATTGGTTACTTATTTCCAGTTCTTAAAAATCTCATCTCTTCAGCCCTCTAATGCCTTGCATTGCATGTATACATATGCTCAAGATTTCATGCAAAGAATTCAAGAAAGGGTCCTTGGTACTCCCAGGCATTGCAGAGATGGTCAAAGAAAACCTATTGTCTCGTAAGAGAAATAAGTAAATAGTTAGGATTGAAAAACATGTTACCTAGAAGCTTTTCAACTGGTTTTGTGACATGTGCACCGCAACCAATCCAGTGTTTGAGTCTCTCAATATTCAAGCCAACAATCTTTTCATTATGGCTGTTTGGGAGTGGGTCATAGCAGCCCACTTGCTCCAAATACTTGCCATCCCGTGCTCGCTTATTATATGCTGCCACTATACGAAAGTAGGGTCTGTTGGCACAGCCACCAAGAGCAAATCGGATAGCTACATGTCCTCCATGATAGTTTTTCATAAGGAGACGAGCTAAAGGGAAAAATCACACAGGTGTTACATTAGATTTGACTGATGTATGCAGAAGTCTAGCCAAAAACTTGACAAGCCTTAGAGAAAACTTAGGTTTCACCTAAAAAAAAAAATCAATAAAACTGCTGTAACCTGCCTTTACACAGCACCAATTATTATTATTATTTATAATGTAATCACAGTCTGTACCCTGCTATGAGACTGCTTTAAGACCTCAATTTATTTTCAATATTTAAGATAGATTGCTCTGCCACCCTTAAGAGAGTTTAGCAGCAACAATTGCATAGTCTCGCCTGTGCTTGATTTAGAGGGATGCAGAAATGAGGGGTCTTTCAGACTCAACAAGAACAGGCTGCACTTACCAAGATGCACCATGATGAGCCCTACCAGCACCTGAAAAAGGAAAAAGACCATGAATGAATCCCCTGCCACTCCCAAACACAGAACAAGGGGCCAGGCCACAGCAGCAGTCCCTGAAACACTGCAGCTATGTGACTGTAAATCCTACAGTGTGGCCACAGCCTTAGTTGACAGCAATAACCAGAAAGTTACACTGAAAATCCTGAGGGAATCATGGGAATTTAGTTGCAAGTCCATTGGCCAGAAAGAACCTGGCAATGGAAGTTTCAAAGCGCCTGCCCCTACCCCATCTTTTGTGATATGACATTTAGGTATTTTTTAACCTTTAGAAGCAGAGGTAAAATAATAGGGGTTTTTTGTTCCCTGATACCCCTGCTGGGCAGCAGCAGCTTCTCTGCCTCACTTTGTTTGCTTTTCTGTTTCAATAGCTTTGTTGATGTAGCACTTGTTGGCATTGCCCTGAGTACATAAAATCACTTGTCTTCATTGGAAGTTAAATTAGTTTCCGCATTATAATGTGGTTCTGAGAATTTGGTGCATACACACACTGAACATTATTTGATTGGATTCTAGGCTATTAACCTATTCAGGAAATCTTCAAATCTTGCTGCTAATTTTTAAATGGTTTAAGAAATAGCATTGCCAACAAAAGTTTACAGGAATTGTGTGCGAGATCTATAATTCAAATATTCTGGTTTTATGCTACTGAGAAGTCCTGATATTCTAAATCTATTTTTCCTCTATGCTCTGATAATAAATTATTAGAACACTTATCCCAGGATTGCTCAGTCCTTAATTTTTTTTGTTTTTCTGTATTTGATTTCTCACTCTAGGGTGTGGCTAGGGATGAAGGGTCGAGTAGGCAGGCTGCCTCAGAGAGAGAGGATTATCCTAGCCCTCCCACGGCCGAGGAGAGGTGTGTGTCCCCAGCATGGGGCAGTCCCAGGTTCCTGCTGTGCTCCCCAGTTAGAGTGAGAAATGCAGCTAACTGGGCACTTTCCCCTTGTGCCATGACCAAGGGGAACAGGCATCACTGTTCCTGTACCAGGCGGGGGTGGGGGAGGAGGAGGGCGCCTGGTGTTTTTTGCTCTTGTCAGTAGGTGTGTGAGAAGCAAGCCCATTGCAGCCACATGGCCTGGCCCCCAGCTTGCTGTATGTCAAGGCAAGAGGCGGCAGCATCACAAAGTGGAGGTCCTAGCTGGTTGAGGAGCACTGGCCGGACACACAGACATTCAGGTAGGTTTTCTAAAGCGCTCGATGGTAGCGACGTTGGTCTGGCTGCCAGACCAAGTGGGTGACAGGCCAGTAACTAGGGTTGCCACATGGTTTAACCAAAAATACCAAACGCGCCCCCCAAAAAGCAACACCCCGAAACATGGGAAAAAAATATGTTGAGAGAAAAAAAAAGAGCCTGAGTCAAGCAAAAAATGTCAAAGGTCCCTGGCCCCTTTAAGAAACGCTGTGGAGGGGGAGCTGGCCACCCCCATCTTGCCTCCCCCCCCGGC